TGTACAGGTTGTCCGTTGGAATATGATCCCACAGCTATATTACAGTCTATGCATATAGCGTTAACCTTAATTATTTGCAACGAAGAATCAGATATATTTATTTCATTCGCTTTAAGAACTCTCTTGTGAAAACCTAATAGACGACCTATTGAATTGTCCGAGGTAAAGTCAATGTCAACATTAGTATCAATCCTCACAGTAGATGTATTACGATTTGGTATTATATTTATCTCATTAGGAGTTTGAATGTTCATTTGAATATAATCATTAAGATCAGTAATTTCATAAGCTCCAGTAGGTATTGTTAAAGTGGTGTTACCATATTGTAATTTATTGTTAGTTTCATCGATGTTTGGAATAACGTTGAATGTTTCAAAGTTAGATAACCCAANATTTATTTATTTATTTATTTATTTATTTATTTATTTATTTATTTATTTATTTATTTATTTATTTAGAAATTACAATATTCAACGGGACAAAGTCCCAATTACAGGAAAACAGAAGGATATATCTGAACGTAAAATTTTCCGCTCTTTTCATTTCCGGGGTCAAAAGTAGGGCATCCCAATTGAAAAATTAACTTGACCTTGAAATAACCTTGAAGGTGAAGATCAAGGTCAAATCTAGAGTCACCACTGAATAGCCAGGGAAAAATCCTATATCTTTTGTCTGAATCATTTTTCCTCAAATTACATTTTTCGAAAGTTATTGTGCTGTTTCCATACCTTTGGGACACCCTGTATACAAGATAAGGATTACATTTGCTAGACAAACAATTTTTTTTTAAGTCATTCATAGAATGAAAAAATATATCAAGTCGATCTTCATACTTCTGGTAATTGGAAATAATTTGATATAGGAGAGATGCTATTAGTAAATTGGTATGAGGTGTGGATAATTGTAAAACAGAGTGAAATCTAGAATTAAGTTTAGGAACATTCTTGAGACAAAGAGTCTGCATTTAAAGTGTTATTTATTATTTTAAAAAGGAATATAATTGAAAACATAATTCGCCTTCAACAGAGACTATTAAAAATAAAACAAAAGGGCAATAAATCTCGAAGTGTGGCACAAGGAGGATAAAATCCATAATTAATCCTACGTTCTGAAAGTCCTTAGAATTACGTAAAATAAATCCTAAATTCTTATAAGCAGATTTGGTTACTAAACTAATGTGCTCGTCAAACGATAATCTAGTATCGAATGTAACACCAAGGTCAGTAAATTGCCTAACTCTATTTAAAAAAGATTCACCAATTTTATAATCAAAACTTAGATTTGCGTCGATTGTAAGACATAATTTTACATTTTGTTTACATTTAGTGGTAGATTATTACATTAACACCAATCAGTAGAGGATTTAACTTCCAAGAACAACTTCAGGTCGTCCGCATAGAGTAAATAGTTGACATCGAGGCATTCAGTTAAGTCATTAAAGAAAATAATAAATAACAGTGGTCTCAATATTGACTCTTGCTGAACTTCTGAAGATAGATAGAATTTACATGATTGAAAGCTTTGATACTGCACAAATTGGTACCTACCTATTAGGTACTAAAATAAGATTTAAACAAAGGTAATAGAGAAGGGAGTATACCATATGACTCCAATTCCAATGTTAATAAATTATGATCAAGCTGATCAAAAGATTTGGAAAAATCGGTATACACAACATCGACTTGACTTTTTTTTTTCAACTAGATTTGAGGTAGTTGAACGACCACTCATAAATTCATGATGGTACGTTGATTTTTCAATATGAAAATAAATAAATATGAAAATAAAGTCGATTGTGTAAAATTATTTCTAGGATTTTTGAGAAGTTACTTATACTATAGCCATGGGTCGGTAGTTATGTCGTTCTTAGTACCTTTTTTATAAACGGGGCAGATTGGCGATTCTTTCCATACTTGTGGATATTCTTTGTATGTAATTATAGAATTGAATATGATTTTTAAAGGTTTTGCGAAAATTGTTTTACAGTCGGTTATTAAAAATGCAAGAATTAAATCAGGTCCCATTGTAAAATTCTCTTAATTGCATTTATTATGTCATCTTCGGTGACCTCAAAAACACAAAGAGTATTATAGCCAACAGAGGGCAGTGAGGGCGTACAACTATTAAGACTTTGGTTAGGTACAAATGAATCAGAAAAATAATTGGCAGAAGCATTGACAATATCAGAAGGATTATTTAACTGAGTCCTATTATAATTCATACAGGATGGAATAGAGATAGAATTAGATCTTGAATTAATATGGGACCAAAATCTTTTAGGATTTGATGACAGATCATTGACTATTGAATTTTGATAATGTTTAAATGCTAAACTAATGCAAGATTTAACTTCAGTTCTTATTTCTCTAAATCTGTTGCAATAAAAAATTTCGTTTGTAGATTTATATTTACGGCAACGTTTATTTTTTAATTTAATTTTATTAATAACTTTTCCGTTAAACCAAACATGATAATGTCCATAAGATTCCTTTTTTATAGGTACGTACGTATATTATCAAACATCTAAAACAAATAACAGGGCGAAGAAATACAAATCTGTTCACTGCATTTTATGTATGATATTTGATACAGGGCCAAAATATTTATAGGATTACTTGAGTCTTGGTTGCAAGATTAACCAACTCTAAACATCATTCCCAGTTCCATAAGATTATGGAGTTATTGGACTCATGAGGTTATATTGGTGACCGACTATGAAACTGTTGAATGTGGAACTATTCATACTATTCATAGAGAAATACTCTACTTACCGATAATAACAGTACATATCCAACGTTTGTGAGAATCATTTCCATCGTAACTCCGTAAGTAGCGTCAGCCCAAGTAAAATTGGTTCTTATTACGAACACGAACATATCCTGCAGTTGTATCATACAATAGAAGCAGATCAACAAAAACGACCACCCTGTTACATCACTGAAACTCTGCGTAAGATCATACATCTCTGGGTAGATTTTCTTTATCTTCTCAATACATTGGATGTCACCATTACGAACGTCAGCAAATTTGGAGACAAATAAATCATTCATAGCTTTAGTTCCTTGCGATAAATAAATGCCGACGCTAAGTATGGTATAAGTGGTCAAAACATACTGATAACGAAATATTATATAGGAAGTATAATAGGAAATAAAAGGCATGTTCAAGTCGATAGCAATTAATGTCATCAAAGAAATATGTCCCAACACAAAAATTAAGCTGGAGTTGCCAGATGTTAAGTTCAATCTAGCTTTGATCTGTTGAATGCCATGGAATAAGTCTTTCCAAACGTTTCTGTTCCAAAATGCCGGTCCCAACACTGTGACCACGTACAAAAGTAATCCACTCGCTTCAGTTATAATTTCCATAGTTATTATTATTGTGCGGGTATATGGAAACAGCTCTGCAGCTCGAATGTTAATAAGAACACAAGACAGAACCAGCGTAAGAAGGACTAATAGCGCAGAATAAATCTTGGACAGTACGGGATAAATGAAGGTGTTTTCTTTGAAGTCGTACCACGGTACCGCGCCAAAAGCACACAGAAAAACTGATATCGGCTTTTTGAACATGACTTTGTCGTGACTTTGTTCCCTGATAACTGTACACTCGACAACTAGTAGTAATAGAAATTGTCTACTAGTTAATAGAAAGGCTCTTAAAGATATTACAACTTGATTGATTTGGGTGTAATAATTTCATTACGAAATTGGAGTGGATTGGAAAATGTAGCCAAGTGTTTCAGGTACGACTATTACTATGGTATGAATTATGAAATAAAAAACAAACAGCAGTTACACTTGTACAATTTATCAATCACAATTAAACGGCACCTATTCAATACTTTGTCTCAGATAAAAATACTATCTACAATTTAGAAACTGATAAAGTAACATCTAACTTACCGTTGACTGAAGCACTTGAAATGTGTTGACTATAACAATATCAACGCCGATAGCGTAGGCGTGACCAAAATGGTTATAAGTGTGACTCGTTGCTTCTATCAGGCAACGCAGTATGTCCAGAACCATATTAAAACAAAAGGCTGCCCAAGGGGACTACTTTGAAGGGGATGGCAGAGTTGTAGAATAATTTTTAAATATACGGTTTTTATGGGATTAGTCTCATTACTTAATTGTCACACCTCGTATATGGATATTTTAAATAGGTCTAATGCATACCGTAGAAACCTCAAACCTGACGAGCAGATTCAGGGGACGCAAACAGAAAAATATAGAACAATAATTAGACCGTATCTAATAAAAAAGGGAATTTTGAAATCGACAACACACACACAACCATTCTCCAAACCTCCTCCACCAAATAAACCTCTACGTCGAACACAATCGCTAAAATCTTACACTAAAGGTGGATTGTCAGACTTATCTAATAATAAAATCGATTACATCTACTTCGATAACCCTAATGAGATAATTAATAGAATGCGGTTGTTGATAGCGTCACAAATGGCTGGAAATAATTCACACAATAACGAACTGATAGCGATTATTGACGAGCTCAAAGAGGCAAATATTATAAAATAAAAAATTTCACGAAATAAACCCCATTTAGTAATAAACTGTTATTTGAAAAACATGCCCATCGATAAATTTGGTCGACATATTTTAAAAGACAGATCTGTTCCTTATGTTTCACCAAATATGATATCTTCCCCACAATCTGCCCCATTTTACATTTGCGAACCATCGTTACATCACAGTAAATGTATACTAAAGATAAATGGTTTTGAAAACAAAGCATTGAATAGGTATACGTTGGAGAATAAAAAAGAAGAATATATTTTTCCGGTATATGGAAAAATCGAATATGTAGATATTTGTCCAGCCGATTGTGACATGTTTCTTAATTTCGGATCAGCCTTTAAGATGAAAAGTCTTATTGGACGCACTATAAATAAAGGAGATAAATTATTTTTCGATGTCGTACTAGGACATCCGTCTTTATATGCAAAATAGTTTTACAGTGTCCTATAGCAAAGAATGTCTAGTATCAAAGAAGTAGTAGTAAACGAACTCCATAAGCCAGCTAGAAAAAAATTTAGAAGAAGACACGTTTTAGTTAGAGGATTAAATGATTTAATTCAAGCAGATTTGGTAGAAATGATACCTTATGTTAACAAGGGTTACCGATACATTCTTGTCGTTATAAACATATTTAGCAAGTTTGTGTGGGTGGAACCTGTTAAACGCAAAACCGCAAAAGAAGTGAGTAATGCTATGGCTAAGATCTTATCCCAGATGAAGTACATGCCACATAATTGTCAGACAGATTTAGGCACGGAGTTTTACAATAAAGAATTTAAGAACTTGATGACACAATTAAAAATTAATCATTACAGCATGTACTCAAATTTAAAAGCTAGTGTTGTGGAAAGGATAAGCAGGACACTGAAAAACTTAATGTGGAAGCAGTTCAGCCTTCAAGGGACTTATAAATGGATAAATATATTACCGGAGATTGTGAACAGGTATAATGAGACACAACATCGAACGCATGGTCTGGATCCCATTAAAGTAAATAACAAAAATGATACTAAACTGTTGCAAACAGCTTATAGCCTGCAACCTTAATACTCTTATTTTTATTTTTAGTTACAAATAATGTTGCTAACGGTTGCTCCAATGTCGGGGGCTGGTCGTGGATTAATTGAGATTTTCTTTTTGTTTTAATTTGTTGAGAATATAGTAGGCATGGGCGCCAGTCAAATAAAATTGACAAGGATTGGGAGATTACAAAACAACACAAATAATAGATAACACAATGCAATATAAATATCTATTATAAATTTTAATATTAATATAAATTAATTCAGCAATAATTTAATTAATGATAAATTGAGTAAAGTAGAATTTAGTTTTGAACAAATTACATAAAGTAAGTAAATTAGATTAGCAAAAAATGATATGATAATTAGGTACTCGAGAAACAGCTGTTTTCCTAGTAAAGCTTATAAAATAATACATGAGTTGCAATTGAATAATAAGTAATAATAATTATAATATAGAAATATATGCCAAACCAATCCACTATGCAATAGTAAACAGCACAAATCCCAGACTTTCAAGTTGGAGTTTTAACAATAAAGTTTTTCCAAAAATGTTCGTTGTTTGTGGATTAAACAGGAAAAATTGTAGAACGAAGAAAGAAGAAAATTAAAAAAGTCCTAAAATAAATGCATGCACCTGATATAAAAGAACAGTTGGTAATACATAAGAAATTAATAGAGTTGAAATTATTCTAGTAGATTAATATTAGTATTAAATAACCTTTTTATTTAAGTTTCGTTTCTTTTACAATAAATATAAATTAATCAAATCGATATATAAAAATCTTAAATATTTGTTAATTTAAATGGGTTTAATTACCTTAGTTGTTATTTGGCCTTCTTATTGTAAAAGATATTATTTTACATTAATAATTTGTCTTTCATATATTCTACTAGGTAGCTTAGATCTTCTGTCCTCGCGATTTCGCCAGACCCCTCGTCGCTCGGCGTTTCCCCAAAAAACTTTATCTTTACTTAGTTTTTACTATTGTTTAAATCAGTGTATACCATCCGTCTCTGCACTACAATTTGCTTTTAATCTCTTATACCAGATGTCATCTTATGTTTTAAATGCATTCATTTTATTTGACATGAGCTGTCCAAAGGTTTGCAATTTACAATGCCCTAATGTTTATTATTAGTAAACTGTTACAAGCTATTTAAAAACCGTCGATCCGAAACCAGTAAAGTTTAAAGTCGGGGATTATGTAAGAATCAGCAAATATAGAAAGGCATTTAGTAAATCTTACACACCAAATTAGAGCAACGAGGTTAAGAAAGGTTAATAGGACTAATCCAACTACCTATCTTTTGAAAGATCAAAACAATCAAGAAATTCAAGGAGCCTTTTATGAAGAGGAAATTCAGAAAACTACACATCACGATTTCTATTTAATTGAAAAAGTCCTCAGAAGAAACCGAAATGGTAAACTACTCGTGAAATGGTTAGGGCTAGACAAGACACATAATTCTTGGATTAATAAAAGTGACATAGTATAAATTCATGACATATAATTATAATTTTTAAATAAATACAGTACAAAAAGATCATTTCCTTCTTTTATTCACAGTAACAAGCAATAAATATCGAAAAATAAGATTATTATAAATTTTTCTATTTCCAGAATTAAAGTGAAAATGTGAAAATGTAGTTCTCGATGGTCACACACGCTCTTTTCGAATTTGTAGTCGGGAAAAATCTAACTCTAAAATTGACATAACTTTTCAAAAAAGTACAGTTTTTCTCAAAGTTTTCGGATTTTTTGTTAAATCTGTCGAAAACTAACGTGAATGTAGTGTATTTTGCACTAATTAGTTTGGAGTCGCTCAATGCTATTTTCTCAAAAACAGCTCAAGACCAAATGTCAAGGTCACATTTTTTAAATTTTGATTGAAAAAATTTAAATTATTTTCGATTACCTATACCTACATATAACATATTTGGGTGAAATAAAACTATAAGTAAAGTTACAGTACCTTATCAAATTTTTTAATTTTTCTATAGAAATTAAAAATTTAAAAAACGAAATGAATCGTACAATTTTTATAAAATTAGTATGTTGTATAAGTGGTCCAGTAGAGAAAAAAAGTTCATATAATGTTCGCCATCAGACCCACCGTTCGGGTGGTACAGACGAAAAAGGGAATAATCTTTTAAGTTTTCTGTTATTTGAGCAGATGGAAAGGTGAACTTTTTTTGTTCTAAAGCGGTAATAAAGAGCTATGAACTGATGGTACTAAACATTTTTTTTCTACTCCCATCTCTAAAACAGCACATTTTACACGGCCAATCGGTACGCTAAATATCAGTTTAAATACGACAACCCATTAAACATTGTTTGAACCATATTCGGATGTTCCCGCCTTATTAATCACGGGCCGAAGTTTTCTTAGTCACGTCTTGTGATGGACGAACGAAACGTCAACTTTGACTTTTGACAAGCAATTATTACATTTGTAAGTGGTTCGTAATTTGCAAGATAATGGAAGCAATTGAACAAGAAAATGAAGAATTTACCGCCACACCCCCAAAAATTAGAGAACAAGCGATTAGAGCCACCAATAATTTGCTGCCCGAGAAATCGCGAATTCAGTACGAACGGGCTTACAATCTGTTCTCCAAATGGTGCAGTGAAAAGCAAATAAAAATGTACTCCGAAAACGTTTTGCTCGCCTACTTTCAACAACTTTCAGCAAGTATGAAGCCATCTTCTTTGTGGGCGATATATTCCATGCTCCGTTCAACACTTAACCTCAAAAACAATGTTGACATCAGTAAATACCCAAAATTGTGTTCATTTTTGAAACGCACATCAGATGGATACAAACCAAAAAAGTCCAAGATTCTAACATCCCAGCAAATACAAAAATTTATAACTACAGCACCAGATGAAAAATTTTTATTCACAAAGGTAAACTGTTCATATGCGTTAAATATCGGTATGTATTATTTTCTGCTTTAGGTTGCAATGATTTTTGGAGTAATGGGGGCTTGCCGGCGAGAAGAACTAATGAAAATCAAAACAAAGGATATTGATGACCTAGGTACAGCTTTTTTAGTCCACATTCCGGACACTAAAACTAAAACGGAAAGGCAATTTGTCATCGGAGGAAACTTCTATAAGACTTGTAAAAAGTACATGCAACTCCGCCCCTCAAATCTGCCTACTAACGTTACCCGTTTTTTTTTAAACTATCAACGAGGCAAGTGTACGAAACAGCCTATTGGAATAAACAAATTTGGTAACATTGCCCGAGAGATTGCCCAGTTTTTGAAATTGCCAGACCCTACCAGATATACAGGCCATTGTCTAAGACGATCATCGGCCACTATATTAGTAGACTCTGGAGCTGACATCACTGCCCTCAAGCGCCATGGAGGGTGGCGCTCCACTACCGTCGCAGAGGCATATATTGATCATTCACTCACTAATAAAATTGAAACTGCCAACAAAATTATAAATTCCATTGAAAACACGGAAAATATAATTGAAACTTCGGAAGGTCCTATCAGAAATACCAACAATAATTCTAACTTTGATATTGCTGAATTTGACATTGCTGAAAGTATAAACATAAATTTTGACAACAATGAAGCAGTAAGTTTGGATTGCAATAATAGCTCTGAAAATACTGTTATTTCGAGTTCCAATCAAATAAAACAGTTTGATGGAAAAAACTCGGGAACGTCAATGGTTTCTTTCAATAACTGTAGTAATTTTTCTAATTTAACTGTTAATGTATATTTACCTAAATAAGTTAATTTAGTAAGATTATATTACATACATGTTTATGTTACGATTAATGTTGCAGATTTAATAAAAGACACGTAAACGTTTCAATATTCATTGTTGTCTTGGACGTAGAAAAAGTATAGTATACAACTTGTTTTATAAACTCCTCTAGTCACTCGTTTATTAAACACTCGCTCCGCTCGTGCCTAAACAAACTCGTTACTAAAGTGCCGTTTATAAAACTTGTTGCATAATATACTATTACGATTATTTTGTAAGTCACTAGTGGTGGTAGCGGAGAATTTTACATAAGGACGGGAGGTGAAAATATGTACTATCGAACTCAGTTAGATATGTAATTTCGAAAAATGTAAAAAAAATAAGCGACAAAAAAAAGATGTTATTTTCCTCTTGTGTGGTTCCCTCTTTTGTCTCGAATTCTATTTTATTAAGAATCATATACTTCTCATTAGAAAGTGCCATAATACTAGAATTTATTCCTTATATTTTTATTAAAATATTACTAAGTTTGCCTTAAATTTCTAATAATAGTAGTTTCTAGTCAAATTTTCACTAACAAACCTATTTAAAATGAAACACATTAAAATTTGAATGTATTTTTTATTGATATTATTATACAAAGCAAAGATATTTAAAATTAAAATGCGACGGCAGTTGTGGTTACAGCACTGGCGGCGGCGGCAAACCCCTTGAATATTAAAATCGTTAAACATTTGTAAATAAACGAAAAAAATAAAAAATGCTTCTATTTATTAATTGTTGACAATCTAATTCTTTCCTTCTGTCTCCAGGCCCTCCTTTGTGCTTTTGTCATCAGTGGGGGTATGTCTCAACAGAGGCCACCCAAACATTGTGTTGAAAGCTTGTATGACTTTGTCCATCTCTATGTATAACCTTCTTACTTTCTGCACTGTACTATTTACATTAACATTTGAACTGTAGCAGTTATTAAGCAGCATTTCGGACGAAAACACCACTAAATTACACCAAAAACTCGACAAACTCATCAGCAAACAAATGACAGACAATATACCCCAGACAGGCACACCCCCCCCTCCCACACACATACCCCGCACACACACGCACAGAGAAACGCAAAAAACACGGCGGCAACCTCTAGCGAGGACGAAGCCCCAAGACATAAAAAATCAGACGAAACAAACAAAACACGACCACAAACGCGCCCCCCGACACCTAAACTCTCCACAAGCGCCCTACAAAACACCCCACAAAACACACAAAAACAGACAGACAAAACCAAACAAGTCCC